AAAGTAACAACAATGAAAATTCAAAGGAATGAGGCTAAGAATTGATGTGGATGCAAACTATATGCAAGTTATGAGTTAAATTAAGATTCTCTGCAAGAAATTCCCAATTCCACCGTTTCCATAAAAAATTTTAAAAACTTCCGAATGGGAAGAATAAGCATAGGGAGCAGATTTTACCTCATGGAAGTGATTTACCCTCACCAAATCTTCAAGAATCGAGCAAAAATGGAAAGCAAAGGGGAACCCTAAGTCTCATCTCTCAGCCGTTGAAGAAGGATCGGGGAGGAGGTTTTGCGGAAATGACCTAAATCGGGCCGGTTTAGGCTATTTTGTCGAGTAGGTGGAAGCGACGACTAGGCGCTGCGATAGTAGCTCCTATGCGCTACTCTGCTTATCTTGGCCCCTTGGCGCTTGATTTTATCGGCGCCAAGGTGCCAAATCTGCTTCTGACACTTTGGCGCCAGGGGCCTGGTGTCTATGTACCTGACTCAGATTTGGTCCTAGTATCTTAATTTGCAATATTTTATCCTCTTGAAGTCCTTAATCACACATATTAAACACTTATACACTATCTTATGCTAAAGATAATTGAGGATTACTCATCCCCCTTCTCATCATATCTTTCTACTCTATTTTTAAATCTCCAATAGAATCTTCTTCTATTGACTACCGAGTGCTTTACACATTTTTGTAAAGATATTTAAGTCCAAATAACATCTTTACTATTGGCTTATGTGTTGCCAACCTTTAATTACTATAATATCCAATAAAGTATGTACTTCTGTCATTTAATGAAAAGATCATCCACATGCTCCTCTTATAGTTGGTCTACCAAACCATCACGATAGAATAACATATTAAGAAGTAAGAAATAAAGAATTGAGATGGATCTATTCTATTCTTATACATGTCTTCTGTAAATCCTTATGTTCGATTGAGAACTACGGCATAGAGGACTTGGTTGATGCTACCACCACAAAAGACATACTAAAGTCCAACCACAACGAGAAGACTAAGGATTCACTTACCTCAATTCACGCGGTCCTAATCAAATCAAAGCACTCACAAACCTAAACATTAACACAAAAATACAAATAATGCACACAATGACAAACAAAAATCACAAACATAAATACAAACTTAAGTTGTTTCCCAAGAAGTTAGTTTAATGTTCACAGATCGACGAATCCAGATATTTACTCAGGTTGACCCTACATTAAAATCTCTTTTAACATCAGTCTCTCCCATCCTAAATTGAACTCGATGAAATTGGTAAATGGTCCCGACCACCCGGACTTAAATTTTTTTTGGAAATAATTTTAATCGTGTATTAAACAATAAAACCTCCTCTCCAGGCTCGAAATCTTTTCTAAGCATCTTTTGATTGTGCCACATTTTCATTTTCTCTATAAATTCTCACATTTTCATAAATTCTTGCTTAATTTCATCGAGTTCATTTAACGGTAGTAATCCTTTATCACTAGCTTTATTCATATTGTAATTGAACTTTTGAACAACCCAATAAGATTTATGTGGTAATTTTACTGGTAAGTGACAAATTTGCCAAATATGAGTATGTATGAAGACATTTCTATATGTGTTTTATAAGCAGTTCTATAAGCTTACAATGCATCATTTGATCTCAAAGACCAGTTATTTCTATTAGGATTGATAGTTTTTTTCTAAAATATTTTTAATTTCTCTGTTAGATACTTTTGTTAAACCACTTCGTTGAAGATGATATGCTGTGACAATCCTATGTTTAATTCCATACTTTGTAACTAATGTCTCAATTTTTCTATTCCTAAAGTTGCTCCCCCGGTCACTGATGATTACTTTAGACATACCAAATCTTCTGAAGATATTCTTTTTAGGAATTTCTTTGCACTTTGAATATGATAATTTGGAAGAGTTGCTGCCTCAATCCATTTTTAGACGTAGTCTACAACTATCAAAATATATAAATTCTCTAACGATGGTACAAAAGAGACTCATAAAGTCTACATCCCAAATCTTAAAAATTTCAATCTCCAAAGTAAAATTAAGTGACATTTCATCATGCTTAGAAATATTGCATACTTTCTGACGTCTATCACAAGTTTTAATATATTCAGTCACATCTCTAAATAAAGTAAGCCAATAAAATCCAGATTTCATAGTCTTAAAAACAGTTCCATCGATTCCAAAATACTTTCAAATTCAGAATCATGATATTTCTTAATAATTTCAAGGGTTTCTTCTAAGGGTACACATCTTCTAATCACCTCATCCTTACATTTTCTATAAAGTTATGGGTCGTCCCATCAGTAATATCTGGCGTCATGGATGAATTTCTATATTGTTTTGAAGAACTTTGACCATGATGTCTTATGGCAGTGGGTTTATATGCACTTTTTTGGGTGTATTAGTTTTGAAGAACTTTGACCATGATGTCTTATGATTGCAAGCATGCACATTCTTTTAAGTATGATAGACAAGTCTAGCACTCCCCATAATTGTCGATTGCGGATAGCTGCCAAAATTTTAGTGAATTGAGCTTGCAAAGGATTGGTTAAATGGAAAAACCGAGAGTCTCATTACCATAATGTGACAAACATTACAATGAGAACACAAAAAATAATATAAAATATATGTTCAAAATATTGTATATATCGCAACAAATGAAATGAAAAGAACAAAAAATTGAGGACTGATAAGAACCTACTAAAGATTTGATATCTTTCCAACAAAGATAAAAATAATATTTTAACGTTTAGACTGCTATAAGATTAAAGGGATCCAAACTGAATACAAACATGACTTGCACTTGACTTACAAGGTATGTGCATTGGACTTAAAAATCCACTTTCAAACAAGCTCAAATAAGACTTACAGCGGTTTTATAGTGAACTAGATTATATGTCAACGTGGATGAACAAGACTTCACTGAAAATTCAAAATAAAACGAACTGAGGACTCCATGCAAACAAACAACACAATGAACCCCTCCGCAACACATGTTCGCAAGCAAACTAAATGTGATCATTTAAAGCAATCAAGGATTTTTTTTTTTTTATACATCTTAATGACTTATTTGCACAAATAATCCAATAGTGAGAGCTCTAAGTCTTGCATTTACATCATGAGACAATATACAACATAAATACAATTTCATGAAAGTCGTATCAATACTTTTGAAACTTGTGCAAGTATATCATATAATTTCACCAAAAACTGTGCAAAAAAATGGAGCAAATGTATTAGCAATTGTGCAAGTGCATTAAATGGTATACACATCGTTCAAAAGATATATTGAATTGGTAAAAAATCAACTCTTGCGCATTGACTCCGATAAACACACAAATATCTAAGCCTAAAATTTGAATGATTCGTGCATTAAAGCGAAATCTATAGGTAGTGTTTAGCTAAAATTTAATTTGCCTTCTAAAAATTTGACCCATAATTTAGTATATTTTTGTTTTAGCGAGATTTGAAGATTTTATATATAGAAATCATGAATGATGGCTGTTAGAAAGACAGTTACCTCTTAATTTTTTTAAGTAATAACATTAATAGAATCCCCGATAGTAAAAGGTCATCCTCTTATAATACTATACAATAAATAAATATGTTTCTCTTGTTTAATTGACAATAAAATATTAAAAAAATTAATTTATCTACCTAATCATCTTCTTGCAAAGCAACAAATCCTTGACAATGTTTATTTTAAATAGGAGTAAACATTGTTAGACTGACATAACCCTACTACAACATTTGGATTATTTTTATCTTACAAAACTACCTCCCAGTACCTTACCATATGCATCCATCAATCCTAAAAAAGAAATTAGAAGATAAGCTTTTTTATTTCATGCTTTTGTACCCTGGCCCATGCAAGATCAACCATGGCAGAGAAATACAGCTCTAAAGGAGCTCCATATTAATGATTGACACTGGAGTAGCCTTTGACACCTGGTGCTTCAAGTCGAAGCTATAGGATTCACATAGGGGAAATCCGCCTTTTGCCACTAACTCCTTGAAAGCATTCTGAGAAAATTATCTGTTTAGCATTATACATTTATGAGGCAATAGAATCTTCTCTTCCTTTTTAATTTTAAATGAGCAGTGATCTCAATGAAATGTTGTTTTGCATAGGGGTTAACTTTCAATTTTTTCTATAGTTACTTAAAAAATGGACCGTTTGAGCAATAAAATCACAAGTCAAACAATTTAAACTGTTAAACTTTGTATAATAAGTTTACTTCATGATTGCATCATTTTTTAGTTAAAATGGTAAAATACATCAAATAATGGAAAAAAATGTGAAAGTGAATTTACATTTTCCTAACATACTTCTCTGTCAGCTTTTTTATAATGACCACCTCCTTTTGCTTGTCTAGAAATGCACTGTTTCATCCTTATTTTTAACCCCCTACATAATGAATGATGCAAGAACCAAACCAAACTAGATAGTTCAACTACACAAACTAGGCTCGATGCAACTCACCTTTATTTTAAGTTGACCCATTATAACTACAAAAATTGAATATTTTTATTTTGTTAACAACTTGTTGATAGTTTCATCACTGTAGGAAAGATAAATCATTTTGTTTCACCTGTTCGCTGTCATAATAAGTTTTAAATTGTATTTTTTGCTCTTTTTATCATCTTCTTTTTTTGGTCTTTGATTCCTGTTCGGTAGACTTTTATGATGTATCATGGGTTTAACGTATTGGTTAAAATTCTTGAAGTTTGTGAATAAATTGGTGTTCATGAATCCACAGATTAAGTAAAAATTTATTTCAATAATTGGAAAACACTTTGTCCTGTGTTGTCTTTCAAATAAGTTTGGACAACACTCCTTTGTGGCCATCTTGCTTCAAGGTTTTATACTACCTGCCATTGTGCCATGTCCACATAACTTTATAGACCAATTGTCACCATTAGCTCAATAAGGGAGAAGATATTTTTTTTTATTCTTCAAGCTTTGAGATTTCATAACTTTTTTGTGATCTTTTCAGGGAGAAGGCAAAGCATTTTGTGCTGGTGGAGATGTTGCAGAAGTTGCGCATTCAGTTGATGAATGTACCATCCTGTCATTCCCAAGAAAACACCTTTATTTAATTGCCCGTGTTTTATTTTGGTTGATTGTCTAACTATGAAAAAAAGAAACCCCTTTTCATCCAAGTTTTCTTAGTTTATTTTGCTTAAACTCAGGTTATAATTCATGCTTAGTAGCTAGAGTAATCTTCTAAGAAGCTTTTGCTAGTTGTTTCGGACAATTGTTGCTCACTGCATTGCAAAAGAGCTACACTAAATTACAAAGATATAAATATTAATTAGAGACTCCTACTTATTAAAATTTTCTATACCTTGTTTCTACCCTATTATTCTAACATATTACCATCTTGGTGAAAAAGGTCACTGGACTAATGGTGCAATTTTTTTCTGGAATGAGTTTAGATTGAATTATCTGATTGCAACTTACAGCAAGCCTCAGGTGAATCACAACACATACAGCAGATATCATCTCTTCTTGCTATTTTCTTGTGACTTCCTTGCTACATTTGATTTATGCTAGTTTTACATAAATAATGGCTGAAGGTTTCTCTCCTCAATGGAATTGTGATGGGAGGCGGCGCTGGTGTTTCCATACATGGTAGATTTCGGGTGGCTACGGAGAAAACAGTATGGTCTTTTTGACTTGTATTTGGAATGGAATGACTTTTTTTCCTGCATCAAGCTATATACAACTTAAAGTATCAGTAATCTACTTATGTTTTTTTCTTCAAAAAGTTGTTTTATTGGTCATGCGTGCTAGAAGTAGTGGCATGGTGGGTTAGAGATTTTTAGAAAGGTGTGTCAATCACACACTTCAATCATATGTTGGGGGAAAACACACACAAACCTGAGAGTAAAAGTGAAAACATTTGAGAGAATTAAAACACCATATGAAATACACCAGAAATAAAAACGAGTTATTTATGTTATTCACCTCCTCAAGAGAGACTATACTTGAAGTCTCTCATCATACTGAGAAAGTTCTAGAGTTGGTTTGTTTTCTTTTGAGCGATACACAAAAATTGGTGCGGGGCATACCGCGCGACAATTCCCACAACAGAAAGCACATCCCTCTTTCATGCCTGGACCAAACTGGTCCTGGTTTTTTTATTGTTGTGGTGTCGGTTGATCCTCTTGAGCCACTCATAATTATCTTATTACTATATATTTGTTTTTCTAATATTTTAGGTTTAATTTTTTATTTGTTTTCTATCGGGAAGTCATCGACGTCTTCAGTTTTCTCTTCTAGAGGCTGAGTGGTGTTACGGTTGCATCTCATTCCGAGGTGATGATTATCCTCAACTTTCCCTTCCTCCACATCTTTTACTCTACTTCCACTGTCCCCATACCTGCTGCAGCCACTCGGAAACAACCCTCCTTGGATGTTTTTCTACAGTCCACCTTGACGCCGCCTTTCAAACCTCACACTCCTCCCTTCCAGCTTGCGACTGCCTTACAGGAACCCCATTTCCCCCTTCCACTTACTGCCTACGCCCCTAAAGAACCCTCCATTCTCACTGCCATCGCAGTTCCAACTCTCCGTGTTCATTGCTGCTGCTTTCCATACACCTCCTATTGTTGTCATCATCTCAAATAGCTGTCCCGCGTTGATACCTTTCGCATGCTTGCTATCTGAAACCGAAGAAACCATTGTCTAACTGTTTTTGCTTGCCAAACACCTCGTTCACCATCCTGTCACCTTTCAAACCCTCACCAATCATCACAATCACCCTGAGATCCACCCTAGTTGAGTTTGTGTTATCATTTGTTGCAATTTCAGATTTCCTATGAGTTGTGTTTGCTGTTATTTTCTATTTAGTTCAACAATAATATTTGGTTTTCTCATTCTTGTTCGTTAACTGCAGTATCATTGGCTATCAGAGCTAATATAACCCTACTAATATTCTAGGGTTACCTAAACCCCCTACCTCACCCAAAATTTTTGTTTCCCTTCCGATATCACACTCATACACCCTATCCCACCCGCTTACAGCCAAACCTTAATTATGCCACCGAGGAGATAAGTGTTGGACGCCGATCAATATTTTATCATGAAAGAGATACAAAAACTTCGTCGAGTGCTACAACAACTTGATGAATTTGAGGGAAAAACTCAGTGAAAGGTCACCGTCGGCTGTGATAGTGAGATTCGAGAAGGAAAGCGCGAAGAGCATTTGAGTCCCTTCAATAGGTATGATTTCAATGAAGAGAATGATTGACCACTATGTTTCGGGATTCAATATCAGAGAAAGCAAGTGGCTGTTAGAGGATATAGAAACTTAAAAGTGAAAGTTGATAACCAGATTTGGAGGGAAGAATGAATCCGGATGACTTCATTTAGTGGCTGCAGACTATCGAGAGAATCATTGAATATAGGTATGTGCCAGCTGATAGAAAACGAACTTACTCAGATCAAGATGAGGAAAAGTGTTTTGTTGTGGTGGGAGAATCTGAAGAGGTAGAGACGGAGAGAAGGATGGGACACGATTAGTGCCTGGGAAAAAATGAAGAAGGTGATGCAGGGACAGTACCTACTCCCATACTACTTATTGCAAGGATATTTTCTTGAAACTCCATCACTTGCATTAAAGGGTAATGTCAGTGGAGGAGTACACAATTGAACTTATGTAGCTTAAGTTGAAATATGAGCTGCAAAGATAGAGGAGCATACGATAGCCAGGTATTTGAGAGGCCTAAAACTCTCCATCAACAATGTGGTCAAGCTACAAATTTATTGGATAATGAGTGACGTTTGGACCTTAGCATTAAAGGTGTAAAGATATCAAATGCAGCGCATACAACACCTCCATTCAGAAAGCCACCCATAACTTGAGACATCAACAAGAGCACGCTTAAGGGACTTGAGAAGATTGGTCAAGAGAATGACAGAGTTGTCCAGAGCAAGAAGAAGCCTGAGAAGAGTAGTAAACTCAGTACAATTTCAGCTAATAAATGCTTCAGATGTCATGGGCATGGAGACATCACCCCTAGTTGTTTGACGAATCGAGTTGTTTCCTTCACCAAAAAGGGTGTCGTGGAGGAAGTGAGCGATGAAGAGGCAACTAAAAAACATGGAGAGTGCCAAATTTCACCAGATGAGGGTGAGATGCTTGTGGTTCGATGGGTCCTTCAGACGAGGTGCGGGGGAGTAGCAGTGGCTTCGCCATAACATATTTTACACCAGTTAGATTGTGAAAGGAAATGTATGCAACTTCATCATCGATGGAGGTAAACGTAAGAATGTGAAATCCACACTGGTGATGGATAAGTTGAGTCTCACGACTCAAAGACATTTCTGATCCTATTCCCTGACTTGGTTGAAGGAGAACAAGGTCAACATTGACAGGATTTGTCTTGTGGAGTTTTCTATTGGGAATCAGCTACAGGGTCAGGCGTGATGCGTTGTGTTGCTCATGGATGCCTGACACATCCTGTTCGGGAGACCGTGGTAGTTCGATTGTAGAACTCAACATGATGGATTTAAAAAATCCTACTTTTTCACAAAGGATTGGAAGCACATTGTCTTATCTTCTATGGAGACCGAGGTTACTGGTGCTTTTGCCAGCAAAGAAGCGCTAGTTGTATTGGTTTGGTGATGATAATGAATAATGAAATAGAAGAAATGATCTTCGACATAAGGCAACCACTATGGAAATAATTTCAGGATATTTTAACTGACAGTTTGTTGCCAAAGCCGCCACTGTTTCGGGGAGTTCAGTTTGTCCTCACATAAGATAGGGATGAGCCAACCTTGGGCTATCTTTGGAACACCCTACAATGTATACTTGGCACCAAGTTCCAGCTCTGTTCAACATAGTACCCTTAGTAGTTGGATTGGTATGGATGGCTACTCACAATTGGGGAAACCTTCTTAGGTGTTTTGTGAAACAGTGCAAACAACAATGAGACCTATGTGCTCATATCGACACATCAACACTGGGAAGCTATAGTAGCTCCACTATCTTTAACGTGGTTGATTTGACTCCATACTACAAAGCGATAGAAACTTTGACGGATAAAGTCAAACTCTGCCAATCCTGGGAGATTAATGTGAGGCATACTAAGCGGGAATTCTCTCGATAGAAAGCCCGGCCCGCTTTCGTGCTTGGACAAAATCAATTTGAGTTTTTTTGTTGCTTTGGAATCGGTCGGTCCTCTTGGGCCACTCCAAGTTATCCTATTACAATATATTTGCTTTTATGATGTTTTAGGTTTAGTTCTTGGTGCGTTTTTTATCGGGATGGTTGTCTGCGTCTCTGATTCATTCTTCTAGAGTTGTATTCAAGGGTGATTGATGCTTCGGTTGTACCTCTTTCTAAACGATGGCTATCCTCAAATTTTCCTTCCTCTGCATCCCTTCCTTCCGTTGTCATCGTCACTGTACCTGCTGCAATCGCCCAGAAACAACCATCTTTCGTTTTTTTTTTGCAATCTACCTTGTCATTGCCTCCCAAACCCCCACACTTCGACCGCCTTCCAGGAACCTCATTTCCCCTTTCTCCTTGTTGCCAACAACCCTAAATAGCCCTCCATCCTCTTTGTCATTGTCGTTCCAGCCTTTAATCTTCAGTGTTGATGCTTTCAGCCATCCCCCTTTGCTGTCATCATTTCAGTAAGCCGTCTCATGTTGATAACTGCTGCTAGATAGCTGTTCGGAACCCATGAAATTGTTAGCCTTGTTGTTTTCTTCTTGCCAATCTCCTCGTTTACCATCTTGCCATCTTTGAAACCTCACCGATCACCACCATCAACCCGATATCCACCCTAGTTGAGTTTGTGTTATCATTTGTTGTAATTTCAGATTTCTTATGTGTTGTGTTTGTTGTTATTTCCTATTTCATTTGTCTGGTTGTAATTTTCTATTTTTTTCAACACTAATATTTGGTTTCCCTTTGTTGTTGGTTAACTGCGGTGTCACACACACACATACATGCATACCCCATATTTATAATATAATCCTTATAATTCCGGTGTCACACACACACACACACACACACAAACTCCATATTTATAATATAATCCTTATTGATTTTTGAAAGAAGCAAAAAACATTTGTGGCAAAACCTTGGGGGCACACCGGATGTATGCAACAGTGGCAGCAAAACTTTAGGTTCAAGTTACAGGACTTGTGCCTGACCACATCTTGTTGGATGTCTGTAACCTCTATTCACTGTTGATTACCTTGCTGAAGTTACCTTCTGTCGGGGCCTTGTTTCTGTCTTACTTTCTATTTAGCAAAAGATAAACACCTCTCTGTGCATAACTCCATCGTCATCAGCTTTTGCTCAGTAACCAATTTCACCGCCGCACATGATCTTAGCCTCCCTTCATGTAGTTAGTCAATGTGGACTAAAGCAGCTGAATGACGACATACCTGTGTACATAATTCCACCATCATCAGTTTTTGCTTAGTCACCAATTTCACCGGCGCACATGGTGAGGAGTACCTTCATCTAGTTAGTCAATGTGGCCTTAAGCAGTTGCATGACGACATGTAACAAATGCAACCCAACATTGGTCTGTGTTTAGCCATCAACAAGCCTCTCTACAATATGGAAGACCTCTCCTTTTTCCATTCCATGATTGTCAGGGAGAATTGAGAGTTACTCTTCATGCTTAGACCTTTG